GCTGTCGTCTGTCTGTCTGTATCTCTCAGAAGAAGAAAACATCCCCCCCCCCCCCCTACTCCCTCGAAAATAATAAATACGAAGAAAAGAAAAAGGAGGAAAAAAACAAACAGAAAAAATGTAGTTCCTTTATCCTAATTGGGCAATTCCACTCCCCTTCGCAATAATCATATCACGTGATGCAATCATATTTAACTTTACGCGCACAAGAAGAGAAAAAAAAATTCGGGTTTTTCTTCTTTTTTTCATCTTTTTGAATGTCAACAGAAGAGAAGAAAGACGCTTAAAAGAGGGAGAATAAGGGCAGTGCGATGGCCTGTCGAGCTACTTGAACCTCCTTCTCGAGCTGCACAAGGGACGGTTCAGTCGGAAAGCATGTCTGTTGAAGTGGTGGCCGTGAGTCCAGCTTCCAAGATGGAGAAGGACGAGGATGAGGAGCTCTCTGAAGAGCAGATCCAGAGTCTCTTGCTCGAAGCTGAAACAAGGTTGAAGAAGGCTTCTGGCAGCTCTACCAAGCAAGACGGAGTCGTCTCCCTCGCTACCGGACAGGAGGCTGGCGACTCTGCCTCGCGGCCAAAGTGTGTACTTTCTTCTGCACCTCTTTATTTTTTCAACTTACATGCACTTCCCATACTGATATACCCTGCAGAATCCCGAGTTTAAACCATAAGCAAACAGTTCAGCCGTATGTGCGGCAGTCCAATAGTATTGCTACTATCGACAAATCCAGACTGGTCCCGGAGTCGGCAAAGAAGCTTGCTGAAACCATTCACACCGTGGAACAACCGCTTGTCAAGGTAAGCCCATAATAGAACTTCCTTTTTTTTCTTTCCATTCACACTACCTCCCCGGGTCCGTTATGAGGAAAAATTATCCCAAGCCTTGTGCTCTTGACGCAGGTTTGTAGTCCGTCTTGGACTATGCTGCTCCCATGAAAGCTTCTTTTAATCATAGTTACTCTGAACAATGCTCGACCCTTTTGCAATTTGATCACCCATTACTATAAAACGACACATCTAGTTGGACACCATACTAATAAGTCGTCAGAACAAGGAAAAACCAACCTCGGGGCCAAAGTGGTTCAATCTACCCAAGACCGTAGTTACTCCCGAGTTAAAGCGGGATCTTCAGATTCTCCGTATGAGATCCGTACTTGATCCTCACCGCCACTACAAGAAGGAGAACGGCAAGGCGAAGATACCAGAGTACTCTCAGGTTGGTACCATCATCGAAGGACCCACCGAATTCTTCAGTGCCCGTATCACAAAGAAAGAGCGCAAGAACACTTTTGCAGAAGAAATAATGGCTGCAGAGAAGGAGAGCGGCCGCTTCAAGCGCAAATATGCTGAAATTCAGGAAGCCAAGACCAGCGGGAAGAAGGCATATTACAAGAAATTAAAGGCAAAGCGGGCCAGGCCAATGAAATGATTGACATTGCCCTTGGGGACTGATTGTATATCTAACTCTCTATCACATCGATGGCCCTAGATGTGATGGGGCCTGTCTGCTGTCGAGTCAAGCGGGGTGATATCACAACGCCAGATCTCTGTGTTCGCCCAATCATTGAGCAAACATGTCCTCAACAGCTTGCGAGACAAGTTTCTATGTGGTTGGGCAACAAGGTTAGCTATCATATCATTGGGCTTGCTTAGGTATCCATAGATTCGGTGTGCTGCGTACCTGCATGTCTGACGCAGCCTCTCGACCAGCTTCCAGCACTTCCTCATGGTTGGCCTTGCCTTCGTCGACGATCACGTTGAGCTCTTCTGCCGTCGACTTCTGAAGCAGATGGTCATCTCCACGAGGAGCCGGTGACAAGACACAGTTATTCGTCACCAGGCTCAGGGCAAGTACCTTCATCCCACAGTGCCGTGCCACAATAATTTCCGGTACAGTCGACATACCAACTGTATCGGCACCCAACATTCTCATCATCCGACACTCAGCTCGAGTCTCGAAGCTTCATTGTTTTTTGCAGTGTTATTAGCCCTCTGTAGCTCTCTGCAGGCACGTGATGATACCTTTTTTCCAATTCTCAAGGGCTTAGCCTCACCTTGGGCCAGAACAGTACGCATACACTCCTTCATGGATGCGTCGCTTTGATTCTGCGGGCACAACTTTTTTCCAAGCTTGGTGTGCTGTCCGGCGCAGTTCTAAATCGTATGCATCGGACAGTGGCGGAAAGCGAGTCCCAAACTCTTCGGCATTTGGCCCACGTAGGGGGTGAGCTCCTGAAACTCCTGCAAGGAATAAATGCTGCGGTGGAAAGCGACTTTTTAGTAACAGATTCCAAAATTGTCTGGGGTTGTGGAAGAGACGTACGTCGTTGAGTATGACCACGTCTCCCACAACATAGTCAGGATTCAGCCCTCCGCATGCATTTGTTACTATTCCCTGTCAGCTAGCCCAATTCTTCACTATTTGCAATAACAATTTCCTCTTTAGAGACGCCCTTACCAACTACCGTCTCAACTCCAAGAAGCTTGAATATACGCACTGGCAGCGTCACCTTTTGCATCGAATGCCCCTCGTAAAAACTGTGGTCTTCGTCAACATCGTACTCATCTTCAAAGCAAATAGGTCTCTTACTGGGCTCTTCCAACCATCAACACGGCTGGGATCTTAGACCCTAGATATCCAAATACCAACTTTCCCAGATGTCCGGGAACTAGTAAAGTACCACGATGTCAGATAGAACATCCTAAACGAATCCAGACATCCCTTACCTGTAGACCTGGGAAAATTCGGGATGGAGCCATAATCAAATTCGCACTTCGTCTTTGGATCTATGGTATCAGCAAGTCCACCAAGGCCAGAGCCACAAATAATAGCAACTCTAGGACTCTGGAAAGCTTCCGGTAACTGGGGTCTGAGGTATTCTACAGCAGCTTGTGCCTGTTCAAAAACAGAAGCTTCTGCCATAGTTATCTGCTGTTCCTTTTATAATTCTTTGCTAAAAGTCACGAGCCAGATTATGCGTATATGTTGGCGTTCTGCAGGTTCTCTTGTACGATCCAAACAGAGCGTATCTCTTTCCAAGTGCGAAAGCCAATAAACTAACAAGACAAACTTCTTCCTCTTCCAATGAAGAGGGCAACAGCGGTTTATATATATATTAATTCCAGCATGAACCTAGGTGAAACGATTTTTTAAACGGAGCTCCCCGCAGGCCAAAATGGTACTTCCTAGACGCAGGGCTTGGTCCTCATTGGCTGATGTTAAAATGTGATTATGTAATATTTCGAGAAGAAAAATCGCGGTTGAAGCAGAAAGTCGAATTGGACAAAGCGACGAGCAACGAGAAAGCAGCAAACACACAGCCAGCACGCTCACAATGTTCTCGCCGTCCTATTTCCGCTCCGTGCTGGGAGCTACCAAACGAATCAAGGTGGGTCTCGTCTTCTCTGCAAATGTTATGGAAGCTCAATGGCTAACTGCAGCATTTCAACAGGTCACCAATCTCTTCCGTCCTCTCTCAACTTCTTCTTCTTCCTCGTCCGACATACCTCCAGAGATTCTATCAGCTATACAGAAAGGCAATGGGGAATCAAGTTCTGGAATTCCTGAAATAAAGTGAGATTGACAGCCGGCGAGATTCTACTTTTTGCAACTCCCGCATCAAAGAAATATCATATCTAACCAGCAATCCCTACAGGCGAGAAGTCTTTACCGAGCCCGAACCTGATAGTAAACCACAGGAATGGTAAGATTGTTTGCTCCGGGTTCAATAACACAGCACCAAACATTTGCGCTTTCCGTTCAATTTTCCAAACGCACCTGAGCCCGGCTGACCTGACATCCTCACCTTGCAGGAATGACCGATTAGAAGTCTACAAGGAAAAGTTTCGCTTGCCCAAGGCCATCCAGGCTGCGTACATGAAACCCTTAAAACGGAAACCGGAATATGGTCTACCGGTTTGCAACCTACAGCTCCGCTCGTACAGCGCACGCCACGTCGAATTCTTTGCTGATTTCGCGCTCCGTGCCGCTTACTACCTTAATATCCCCGCTTCCGGACCAGTACCACTGCCGCGTATAGTTGAGAGATGGACCGTCATTCGAAGTCCCTTCGTACACAAGAAGAGCAAGGAGAACTTTGAACGTATAACTTGTCGAAGGCTGATACAGCTTCAGGATGGCCATCCGGAAGCCGTTCAAGCGTGGTTAGCCTTTTTGAGAAAGCACGCCTTCCACGGTGTTGGTATGAAGGCAAACGTATTTGAGCATGCTTCTCTGGGTATGTCATTGTCTCTGTCTGGTATATTGGGTTTAAAGGTGGTTGATTGGTACTAATACTATAATTATAGATGTTGGAAAGGAAATGGATACAGCAGCTAAAAGCCTTGAGAAGGCTCTTGACGAGGAACTTGCGCATTTTGGAGCAAAGAAGGGCGCCGAGTTCCCAGAGTCCCTCGCTTCTATGCTGGAAAGAGAAACACAGACGAGAACAGCTGCACCACTCACAGAGGGGCGAAAGGGTTGATATGCACGTTTCTACCCTTTTTGCTTGCCTTTGCTTCATTTTTAATCTGTACCATATGACACTTGATATAGGATGGATGCTGTGTTTCTAGCTGGCTGTTTTTTTTAGATCATTTATCAGGACCTGTATACTTATCAAACCACCTTTCTTGGTCACCATACATTCTTCATCCGTAATCAGAGGAAGCAGGGCACTCTATGGAGATATTCCCTGGCAAGAGGTTAACTAGAGGAGTTATCAATTGACACCAATCGAAGTGCTTTACTGTCTAAATTTAGCCGTGACCTACCACGTGACGCATGAAGCTCTCTTCCCAAAGCTTTCATCGGCTGCAAACATTGAAAACCGACACAAAGCTTCAGGATGTTCACCCCGGCGTCTCAGAAATCTCTCCTGAGATGTTGCAGACGATATATACCATCAAAATACTCAATAGGCGCAAAATATAACCGCCAATGGCTTCGGTACAGCTCCACGACGACCGAACCTGCACCGCCAAAGGAGACAGTCATTTTCTCCGGTATACAGCCCACGGGCATTCCACATCTCGGTAACTACCTCGGAGCATTACGCGCCTGGGTAGACCTACAGAATACCTCCTCGCCAGATACGAGACTGATATATTCGATTGTCGATCTACATGCGCTCACATTACCGAAACCTGCAGAGGACTTGCGACGATGGCGGAAAGAAGCTCTCGCCGTGCTGTTGGCGATAGGAATAAAGCCAGAGAGGGCTACGTTGTTCTACCAATCCGATGTTCGTGTGATAATTGCATAGTACATATATTGAAACTGGCTTTCGGGAGAAGGTTACTGATAATGTGCTGTTTGAGGAGGGTATAGGTGCCGGCGCATTCGGAATTGATGTGGATATTAAGCGTAAACGCATCGACAGGATATCTATCGAGGATGACACAGTGGAAGGTAGGTAATGAACCCCTAAGCTGTAATGGGCGGAAGATCTAACGTCGTTGTCATGACAGAGCAAATTGAATCTACCCGAGAATGCGAAATTCGATCTCGCTGCGCGGAATCGACTGAAGCTCGGCCTCTTCTCATACCCTGTTCTACAAGCCGCTGATGTGCTTGTCCACCGGTGCGTAGCTCAATATACCATTAAATTCCTCGAGAGAAAATAGCAATTGACCATTGACTGGGAGAACAGGGCGAATTACATACCCGTCGGGGAGGATCAGAAGCAGCATATTGAATTTGCGCGCGAAGTGGCCAATGGTTTCAATCACTTACACGGGCCTGTTCTTACTGTTCCGGAAGCAATGATCTGTAAGTTTTCACTATAGGATATTCCAATTCGCACGGGAATACTAATTTGGGACAATTAAAGCACCCGCCAAACGAGTGATGTCACTCAAGAATCCAAAGCAGAAGATGTCCAAATCCGACGCGGACATCAGGTCCAGAATCCTCGTCACCGATACGCCAATGGAGATCCACCACAAGATCCGTTTGGCACTGACAGATGCAGGTTCAACCATCACATATGACCCTGAGAAGAGGCCAGGTGTCTCTAATCTGCTTGAAATGTTCAGTCGTGCCGAGGCCCTGATGTCTGGCCCCTCAGGCACCACCGGCCGGAGCCCGACTGAAATAGCATTGGAGTATGAGAACAGCAGCTTCAAGGCTCTCAAGCAGGATCTATCCTCTAAGTTGATTGAGATGTTAGGCTCAATTCGAGAACGGTATGTTGAAATCATGGAGGAAGACGCAAAAGTGGCTGCGTCTGGCTCGTCAGAGAAAGAAAGCTATTTGGGAATGGTGGCTCGAAAGGGAGCAGAAGAAGCCTCTGCCAACGCAGCAATTACGATGAGGCAAGTCAGAACTGCAATTGGGCTATCGTAGCCTGGAAAATTTCCACTGCAATCGCCAATGTATAATAAATAGATTATAAAATACCTAATGGATAGCATATCATCCCCACCCTCCGCTTGGCTCTCTCCGGGTATTTCAATTTTCAGGAATAACTATAATGGAATCCTGTGCTTATTATATTACTACTCACTTACTATACATCAGCCCAGAACATCCCGGTCCACGTCCAGCCCAGACCGTGACAAGTTGAGAATTTTTTTCCCTCGCTCTGTAAGTAAGTAAGCCAGGTTTGAGAATCGTGTCTGCCTTGAAGATGCGCCACCTGTCAATTTGAAATATGTTTGTTTCATTTTTTAGTCGAAATGCGCTGAAGGCGACCCCTCCTCCTCCTCTCTGGCTCTGGCCCCCTTGCCTGCAAACGTCAGGCCCAAGGGGGACTCCGAGGCCCAATTGACTCACACCACCCGGACGAACAAGAACATTCGATCGGACTGATGACAAATTACGTCCGATAGGCAGCAATATTTTCTCAATTGAAGGGCCAGTTTTTGAGTCGAAAACGAAATGGCAATGCGAGGGTGCCTGGGTGGAATGTAATGGAATTAAAGGACAAGAATCCATTTGCGGCGCATCGGACTGTAAATCAGCCCAGCTGGCCCGACTGCCGGAGCAACCTTCATCGCCATCGCGCGCTCTTATCCCCGAGCACACGGACAAGCCTCGATCCGTCGAGAAGCAAGTCGGGACTGACAAGCCACCTTCGCAGGAACCCAAAAAAAACTCCATCGTCCGTCCTTGTTCCTTCTTGTTAGTTGGAGGGAACTAGCAGCTGCGAGATGACGTCTTTCTCCCAACGCGATTCGCTGGGCTCCGGTAATACCGGACGAAACGACCTGCTTCCTGTCGACTGATTAGTTCATCAGTTAGGCAGCATCAAACGATATTAACTTACGATTGACTTGATAATGGGGAACATTGGAGGCAGAGCAAGCAATTCGGCTTCTTCTGGCGTGACTCAGGATGAGTGATAGAGTTTCAGTCAACCAGTTGACGGTCTTGTTTGTTACTTAGTTACGCCCGCCAGCCATCAAAGCGTTTCGACCTTGTCCTTGGTCCGCTATTTTTGCAAAACGTCGTTGGTATCTTTAGTATCTCTCTACTATGTAATGATAGCAGGAAGAGCCAATACAAACGGAGAAACCAAACAACTGCTGAGGGGAAGATGGGTGGATGGATGGGCCCCTGGGTTCGAGCGTGGGTGCGTGATACGACTGATACGCCACCAACCATGGGCCATCCGCATAGTTAGTTACCTTAACTGCTAGTTAACTAGTAAGCTGGTTAGATTGCTGTTGCTGTAGCTGATGGGTTAGTTGGTTTACTACTGCTCCCTGCAGTGATGGCGCGAGTAGTTATCATCATGGTCATCCGCGCCTGTCTGCCGTCGTACCATCGAGTTAATCTCGACTGTCCATGCGGAGTCTTGCCGGGGGCGGGCGAGTCCGACTGACACTTTCGATGTCTCGTTCGGGAGGCACAGAACAGAGAAGATGAGGGGATCAGCCTAGCGCCTGACTCATTCACGAGACGGCGAGTAGCGAACAAGCGGTCCCTTAGGATGCCATTATTGGCTGGCGGGATTGCCTGGATGATGGAGGGGTGGGTGGGGGGGGGGGGGGGGGGGGGTAGTAGAGTAACTCAGGCAAGGGGATGCGTTATTTGCTTTTTACGAGTTGGGTTGCTGTGAGACGTGATTGAGAGCTGGAATCTGGAATCTTGGATCAGGAACAAGGTGTGCATGTATGTTGTACGGGTTCATGTGATTAGTCAATGGTCGCTACCAGGAGAATGCCAGGGCATGTGAAGTGGCTAGTTATCTCGCCAGCCAGGCAGATACATAGATTTACCTGACGGAGGCCAGAGCAGGCGGAGAGACGAAGATGCGCAAGGCTATGCATGTCGGTTGACAAGCGAAGTTAGGCATGGCAGGGCAATTGAGTGAGTGAGAAACAGTCTTAGTACAGCCCCCCCCTCTCTCTCTCGGCCTGGCTTGCGCTGCGGTTCGTAGATCATGGTCTAGTCAGAGGGATCCTTGCACTGCAGCTTAGCGCCGGTACAGAGTACAAGCTCACCTTGTGCCCGGTTCAAGAACGGAGAGAAACAAACGTGGAATAGGGTGTCACAGCCGTCCTCTATTTTTATCACGGGGGGTGCACAATCTTGATTGATAGCATTGACAAATAGATTAACTTGTCTCTAGAGAAGAAGTAATGTGATGATATAGATACAGCTAGTAAGGATCCATGTAGTTGCTAGGTATAAGCCGTACGTACTTAGATGAAGCACTTGAACGACTTGATAGAGTTGGAGAAGTTCCAGCAGGACGAAGGCTTCATGATCAGCGTGTCGACTTTCTCTTTGCAATTCTCATCGCTGTTGACGAGTCAGTCGAATGAAACATGTGGAGGTACAAAGAGGTGATATACTTATAAGTTATGCAGGCCATGTCAATGCTGGTGGAGAGGGAATTGGCACTGTTGGTTTGCTTGTTAGTCTAAGTATATATAACAGCTGACTCTATATATACGCCTGTACTCACTTGTTACCAGTTTTGACACTGAGAACAGTACACTCCGAGTCACTTTCGCCGAAGGATATCAGGCTAAGGTCGCCTCCATCAGCACAGTTGATGTGACCTGTGTGCATTTTGGCAAATGGTGTCTACCGTAGAATGTTAGATCCTTTCAGACTATGACTTATCAACTAGATGAGCATCATACCGGTCCTCTATAAAATCCAGTCTCTCTCGTACCCTCTGGATCATCCGGCCTAGGCCTTGCAAGTCCCACAGCTGCCATCGACAGTACTAGAAGAGAGAGGAGATGCATCTTCTGACTTTGATCTTCGTCGCC